GGAAACCCAAGGAGGGGTCACTGTGAGTCGGGTCCTACTCCACGGCACATAACGACAACAACAGATTACACCATGGATTTGATTCCAATCTCATCATGGTGAATAACTCCATCCAGCTGCTGAGCCACTCAAAACCATGGCCCAGCCAAGCTGACACACAACCTTAACTACCATACCAGGGGACCAGAAAGAATCAAGGTGCAGTTGTTACCCATACTGTGTCATGGTTTACGCACTGGGGTGTTATATTGTTTTCAGTGCTTCTGAACATTTCTCAGATGGGGCTAAAGGCTCCAATTTAGCCTGAAACCAATCTCTTCTCCTAGTCTAGTCTCACTCCCCAAAGAACAACCTAAATTGAGGATACCTTGGTGTTCTGCTTCTCTCAGCAAAAACCCTAAGTGGAGACTTGATTGATTTGGAATCCCTAAACCAAAACCAAACCAAACCTACTGCCATTGAGTCGGATCTGACTCATAGCAACCCTTCCTTGGGTTTCTGAGGCGTATCTCTATGGAAGTAGATTGCTCAACCTTCCTTCCAAGGAGTGGCTGGTGGGTTTGAACCACCAGCCTTCTGGTTAGCAGTCAAATGCCTTAGTCACTAAAAAAAAAAAAACACAGGTGGGATATTACAGTGAAAGGGAGGAAGATAATGTGTTTATTCTGGAATATGTTTGAAGAGTTAGATGGCTAAGTATTAAAAGCATCCAAATTAAATCCCTAGCAATCATAACACTTGCTTCACTAGATTTGCCAACTGCCAATTATGCTGAGCTGATCTAATCTGTTCCTTTCTGAAACTATTAAGGTAAATAACAATAAAACTTCCTTTTGTAAAGAAAAAAAAAAAAAAAAACACTGCCTTCAAGTCAAGCAGACTGCCTCATCTTTCTTCCGAGGGGGCGACTGGTGGGTTCCAATCATTGCCTTTTGGTTTGCAGTCCTTTTGGTTTACAATGTGTTAACCGCTGTACCACCAGAGCTCCTGGAATCCCTGTGGAAGGGCTCAACTCGACCTCTGTGTTAGTACTCCAGTACTCTTCAGAATCTTTAAAACAATCTGAGGATCTTTGAAAGGAAGCTAAATGAAATTCCCTAATCCCTACCTCTTTGTGATATTAGCCAAGTTTTTTCTAAAAGTTTGTGGCAAATGGCTCCACATATTTTGTTTTAGATTGCTCCAAGATGGAGAAGGAGGACAGAGGTCATTTAGGTTGTCAGAGGGATACTAAATTCTCCATGCTTATTACAAATTCATTCAACAAAGAAACTGTTTATAGTCAACAAGCCTTTTTATTATTGTTTCTGGGAATTTTAGCCAGTCATATATCAAACTCTTTGAAAATAGAAGTTGTTGTTGTTGTTGTTGTTAAGTGCCATGAGTCATTTCCGACTCATAGCGACCCCATGCACAGCAGAACGAAACACTGCCCAATCCCGCGCCAGCCCCACAATCCCTGCTAT